TGTTTGTTTGTTTGTGTGTGTGTTTTGAGAGTGAAATTAATTTTTTTTCTCTCTCTCTCTCTGTTAGTATTATGTAATTTTATATAACTGCAAGTCTATAATGCAATGATTACACACATAGTTTTAATTAGATTTCTAGCAAATAAAACAATTTATTATACAATTTTGCTGTTAGTGTCTGTGTGTGTGTGTGTGTCTGTCTGTATATGTTTAAAGAGAGAGAGAGAGAGAGAGAGAGAGAGAGAGAGAGAGAGAGAGAGAGAGAGAGACTTAAATGCCAATTATTATTGTTTGAAATGTTTTTTTAAGTTAATATAATTATTAATAAATTATAATTGTTTAAGTTTCTCATATATATATATATATAACATATAGAATATTCTGTATATGAATATGTTTTAAACATTAATATATAGATATATTTTTTAAAAATATCTAAAACTAAAATATTTAACTGGAAATTAAAAACAATATCTTATTATATATATATATAAATCTTAGTTTTAAAATTTATTAATTAAATTAATTTTTTTTAATATTAAATCATTAATATTGTTTGTTTGTTATGATTATAGGTATGGTTTCAAAATAGACGGGCAAAGTTTCGCAAACAGGAACGCCTAACCCAGCAAAAGTCGGGCAGCGGTGGCAGTGGCGGCTCATCGGGTGCGGCCGGTGGCACTGGTGGCCAGGCATCATCAGCAAACAACAACAACAATAGTAGTAACAGTAATACTAACAACAACAACACCAGTAGTCAGCATCACAACAACCATAACCACCAGCAAAATGGTAGTAATAATAATAATAATACGACAAATAGCAGCACCAGTGGTGGTGGTGTTGGCAATACCAACAGTGCCGCCGCCATCATAGTCTCCAATGCCGGCGGTAATAATCAATCATCCAATGGTTTGGATGCACTAGTAGTTAGCAGCAGCAGCAGCAGCATAACCGGCGGCGGCAGCATCGGCAGCATTACCACCAATACTAGTCAATTGAAAGCTGAATCAACGGGAACTGGTGGTAGTAGTAGTAGTAGTAGTGGTAGTGCATCGTCAGCGCTGTCAATAGTCTCATCGATTCATCAGCAAAACAATGTTGTGTCAGCAGCAGTAGCAGCACAAGTAGCTAAAGTGACTACAAAAACCGATCCCGATTTGTCTACCCCTAACATCAATAGCCTCCACCACATTCACAACAACAACAACAACATTAGCCACCATACTATACCTACCAGTATCATCAATACAAGTAGTATTAATAATAATAATAATAATAATATTAATAGTATTAACACTAATAAGACAATAATCAATGGCTGGCAACCAAAGAGTGTCTGTCCACTACTTTATCCCAATTTGAATCACTTGCACACTAACAATGTCTACTAAAAAATATACAGTATATATATATATTTCAATTTATATATATATATATATAATTTGTATTATAATATTAAATATATTAATATATATATAAAGTTTTAAAATTGCTTTTTTGCGACAAGTATCGATATATATATAACAATATAAATATATAAATTTAAAACAAAAAATCAATTAATTAACTATTATATATGTTTGTTTGACATTAATTAATTAAACAATATTATTTGTAAGACATAAATATTATACTGTATATATTTATGTATATATACATATATATATATATATACAGTATATAAATATTGTAAAAATACATTTTTTTCAAACATTCCTATATATATATATATATATATATATATAACTAACTTATTATATAAGATATAACTTAATCTTTAAATCAAATAAATAATAATAATAAAATAAATATTTAATTTTATTATTTCTATATACTATATATTAATAATTTTTTTTGCGGACAATAAACACACACACACACAATGAAAAATTATTAGCTATTTATTATTAATATTATAATTATATATATATATATAATAAATAATAGTCAATAACAGAGTAAATAAAATAATAATAATAATAAATACAGTATTATTATTATTATAATTAATTACTATTACTCTAATGTATTATAAACATTACATTACATTATAAATAAATAACTAACTAATTATTATTATTATTAATGTATGCTAATTGGAAACAAAAAATATTAAATAAATAAATAAAATTTAAATTTTATCAACAACAAAAATTGTCACATAAATTAATCATTACTTTTATTATTATTATTACTATTATCATCATAATTGTCATTAAAAAATTATTGCAACTATTATATATATATTTAAAAAAAATTATACTGTATAAAAAAAATTTAAATTAATTTCTAACTAAATAATAATATTTTATTTGTTTATTAATTATTATTATTATTATTGACGACTTGTAATATAATATATAATACTGTATATCATATGATTTTTATTAATTATGTATAAAAAATAAATAAATAAATATTTTATAAAAAAATATATATTTAGCATTTATTGTGTGGGTGTGTCTGATAAATGTGTGCCTAATAAACAACATAAATGTACATGCTAAAATTTTAATAGTCTAGTATTGGTCAATATCTCATATTATAATTTATCCAAAAAATAAATTATGCTTAAAGTCTATATTATAGGCCTCACACACACACACACACACACACACACACACACACACACACACACACACACACACATACCGGGCAATGATATGGTAGGGCATCGGTATGTTAATTGGACCTGCGCTAGAAAAATCACTAAATATCATATACAATATATATATATATATATATATATATATATACAGTATAATTAGCTATACTAGCAAAACAAAACTGTATGCATAATACTATACAGTATATACCTAACCCCTAACTACAGCACCCCCTGCGACACATAGTGCTAACGCAATACACTAACAAAAAATAAGTTTTTAGTATATAATTTAAAAATTTAGTTATAATTAATTAAATCAATTATCATGGTTAATAGTTATTTTTTTTGTTGTGCTGATAAAAATATAACCTAGCTAATTTTTTTATGAATGTTACTACAATAAAAAAAACTTATTAATTAATAAGTTTTTTAATTAACAAAAAAAACAAATTTAACAAATTTAAGTAAAATAATTTTTTAAAAAAAATTATTTATATTATACTAATAAATGTTTTTTTTAATATTTACAACTTATTTATAAATATTTATTGATATATTTTTTTATTCACAATAACTAGATTTATATATATTAATATATATTATATATTCAAACTATCAATAAACTAAATAAAGTTTTAAACTAACAAATAAAATATTAAATAAACTATTTTAAACTATTATTATTATTATTATTATTATTATTATTATGTAACATATTATATATATATACTAATATAAATGTACAATTATATAGCATAACTGTATAGCTAACTAAAAAATGTTTATTTTTGTGTTTCAAATAATATTTTACTGGCATATCATCAGACAATTGTATAGTATTTTTTGTTTTAAAAAAATACATTAATAATAATAAAGCTAATAGTAATCCTTGACATATAAAACTAAAACTTTTTAAAAAATGTTTAACTAAACTAAATGCTTGAAAACAAAACAAAAATAATATTTAAATCTAGAACTACCAGAAAAAAATAAATAGATTTACATATATTGTGTATTTAATATTAAAATATATTAAATTAATAATAATAACCGATTGACTTAATTATTATTAATAATTAAAAAATAAATAAATAAATATATTTTATAAAACTTTTGATTTTTTTTGCATTAAATAAATAATTTTATTTTATTTTTTTTAGTCTAATCATTAGTCCCATTGAGAGAGAGAGACTACTAAAATGATTGAATAGAAAGAGAGAAAAATACAAAATCATTATTACAAATAATAATAATAATAATAATAATTAAAAACTATTAATTAGTGTCAAAATAAGTTTCTACATATATGTGTATTACTATACCTGTATTTTGTGTTTTTTATCAAATGTTAAAACAAATTGTTTGATTAGTTGTTATTTGTTTTTTTCTAAACAATAAAAAAATTGCTTAACACTAGACATCTATATATTTTTAATAAATAATAATAAATAAATAATGAGTTTTCAACTATAAATATGGTCTGATATCATATTATATTATAAAATAGTATTTAATTAATTTTAATAAATAACAAAAAATGTCTATTAATTTAATCGTTCATTTGATGCTAACCTTCAAACCTTTTTGATTGATAACAACAAAAACAACTTATTTTCAATATATATATATATATATATATATATATATATATATCGGTAGTGTTTAAAGTCTAAAGTTAGACAACTTTTTTGTGTTTTGTTTTATTTTATTTTATTTTTGGTATTTTCAATTCAATATATATATTAATATATATGAGTTCAAAAAAATAAATAATAATGTATATGTAATGTTTTTAGTGTATTTAGACAAAACTATTTATAATATACGGTATATTTATATATATATATATATAAATAAATAAATAAAATAAAGTAAACGGGAAATCAATTGGCAATATTACTTTCAAACGGTGTATAATAATAATAATAATAATAATAATAATAATTTTTTTAGTATTATTTCCTACAATAGTATACTAATAATTTGTTTTTATGTGTGTGAGTGTGTGTGTATTGATATTATTATGTAATAAATAATATTATAATTTAAATTTTTTAAAAAAATATACCTGTACATATTTATAAATAAAATGTTGATTTAAATATCAATTATAAACTTAACTAAGTTAATAATAATAATATTGTTTTTTTAACTATAATTTTAATAATTAATTAATGTTATTATAGTTATTAATATTTAATAAATAAAAAAAATTATGTAAAAAATAGTAACCAAAAAAAATAAAATGCTATTAATTATTCATCGACAAAAAAATACAAAAATGTTTTTATTAAAAATAATGACTATTGAAAATTGTTTTTAATAAAGTAATAATAATAATAATAAATATCTAATAAACTATTCAATAATTATTATTTACTCTTTTTTTTAAAAAAATATTTATAATTATAAAATCTATAATATTTGTGTCCCGGTTTTTTTTAATTAAAAATTTAATTTTTTGTTAAAATGGGAAAATTATCAAATGTTTGCACATTTCCTTTAATAATTATAACAACAATAATAATATAATAATAATAATAATAAGTATATATATATATATATTATTTAAATGTAAAGTGTTATCAATTATATATATATATAAAAAGTATATATAAATATTTTTCCACAAAAAAATATGATATAAAATTTAACACATATATATAAAATAATAGTTTTTTTGTTGTATATTTAATTTAACCCAATTTTTATCTTTACACTCATTGATTAAATAAATAGTTTAATAAATTTTTTTTTCGCTAAATAAAATGTTATATAATAATCATAATTTTTTATTTAAAAAAAATAACTAATAAAAAAATATAATATCAATTAATACTTTATATATACAGTAATATATAATAACTAAATAATATCCATTTAATTCAAATTAAATGCCACATTTGATTATAACTTTTATAGTACTATACTATTGTTTTTATACTGATTTTTATTGTTTAGAAAAAAAATAATTAATTAATTGATTAAAAAAATAATTACAAACAACTATACTATTCAATCAAATAATAATAATAATAATAATAATTCAAATTAAATGCTATATAATTATTATTACTATTTGAAACCACCATGGTAAAATTGACAATAGCTACTGGTGCTCAACTAGTCACGGTGGCCATCGGCCTGTTAGGTCTGATAATCATATTGAGGGCAGTCATATTTTTTCCGACACCACCGGATCCAGTCGACTGTCGACAGCAGTCCAATCATACGTCAATCGATAATACCGACGGCCGACTAGTCAACCGATTTATCCGAGCCCTACGTTTTCGTACGATAACCCGTGCGCCGCAAGTATACGACTCCCAGGAAATCAAATTGTTTATCGAGTTTCTCAATAAAAGTATTATTCATATTATTATTATTATTATCCGTAACTACTGTTCCCCTCAAAACATAACATTTCATCCAATTTTTTTTTTTTAAAAAGGTTTTCCAGCCGTCCATACATCGCCATCGATTGGTCTGACAATTATCAATGAACACAGTCTACTCTATCATATACGGGGTTCCGATCCGAGCCTAAAACCCTATCTACTATTGGCGCACATGGATGTAGTGCCGGCCGAGGAAGACAAATGGCATTCGCCGCCATACGACGGTACCGTCCGACCGGATGGCTATATCTATGGTAGAGGAACCGTAGATCTCAAGGACGTACTAATGGTAAGCACCGGGAGACGGGATTTATCTACAGTTCCCAATTATGACATTCACTATAAAAATAGAAAATAAATATTAATAATAATTATTATTTTAAGGGTATATTAGAATCGCTGGAGTTTTTAGCCGAAACTCGGCACCAATTTCGCCGATCATTTTACGTGGCCATCGGTCACGATGAGGAAGGCCGCGGTCTGGACGGTGCCCGACAAACGGCCAGTTATCTCAGGAACAGTGGAGTTACCGAATTTGAGTACATACTCGACGAGGGACCGTTCATACTTGAGCGGGTTATAATGGGCACTAGTCGATCGGTGGCCATGATCGGTGTTACCGAAAAAGGTTTCGTTAACGTACGGCTAACGGCCAACGGTAAAGTTGGCCACTCATCGGTACCGCCACCTGAAACATCAATTGTTGCCCTATCGCGTGCAGTGGCCAAATTTACGGCCTATACACACCCGAATCAGTTTGGCCGCGGACCTGAACGGCAACTAATCGAATCAATAGCACCGTACGCTACGTTTGCCTATAAGCTACTCTATGCCAACCTATGGCTATTCGGGCCATTGGTTTCCCGACTAATGGAAACGGACAATACGATGAACAGTTTTATCAGGACTAGTACGGCGGTAACAATGTTCAAAAGTGGCGTTAAGGTCAGTCAATTCCCGACTACATATATATATATATACCGTGTATATACTGATTGACTGTCTGTCCACTTATTATAGGACAATATATTGCCGGGCGATGCCTCGGCAACGGTTAACCATCGGATCTATCCGTTAAGTTCCGTACGGGAAGTACTTGAATTTGATCGCCAACTGATTGCCGACGATGACCGCATCCAAGTCGAGATACTCGGCGTACCCATTGAACCGCATCCGATATCACCACGAAATCGGTTCGGCTATCAGGTTATACGCGAAAGCATTCGGGAAGTTTTCCCTCAAGTAGTAGTCATACCGGGTGTTATGTTGGCCGCAACCGATACCCGATGGTTCTTGAATTTTACCCGAAATATCTATCGATTTTCACCGGCTATTATCCCCAGGGAAGATATGGACCGATTTCATGGACACGACGAACGTATATCAGTAGATAATTATGTAAAACTTGTCAACTTTTATCATCATATTATCATCGGATCCGATGATAGTAGTCATCGAGGGTTTAGTAGTTTAGCTAAAGACGAGTTATAACTTATAAGTGAAATATAAGATCAGATTTATTATTATTTTTTTTGTGAAAAAAACAAATCAATTAAAAATATAATTATAAAAAAACAAAACAAAAAGTTTTATATATTTTTTTTAATATACGATATTATCGTCTAATTTGTTAAAGAGATATTTGTTAGCTATTAATAATTAATTAATTAATTATTTAATTTTTTTTAATTAGTGAAATAATAAAATAAAATAATTATTGTAATATATATTGCGTTAATTGGTTGATATGTATTATAATATATATTCATATATATAATTTTTTTTATATTTTCAAAAACAAAAACGAAAAAAAAGTTTATATAATTAATACCTGTATCTAAATATAAATAACTAATAAAAATTTTGTGAAACCTAAAATCCAAATGATATACTAAAATAATTAATTATTAATAATTAAAATAATAATTTTTAAAAATAAAATATTTAATTTTTTTATCACTTATACAATATATTATAAATTACTTAATTATTATGATTTTATTTATTAATTTAATGTTTTATTTGTTTTTTTAAAAATATATAATAATAACAAACAATTTTTAATTGAATTGATTTAAATATTATTAGTTAATTATAGTTAACAAATATATCATTTAAAAAAAACTGTAAAATAAATATTCAAATAATGTAACCAAAAATACATTACAAACAAACAATTAGAGTACAGTTTGTATAGAAATGTTTGTTCATATATATATATAGCTTGTAATTCCTATGGAAAACGTCAACAAAAAATAATTATTGAATATGTATTTAATATGTAGTGTTGCCAACAATTAACAGTATATTAGTGTCAGAATTAGTTTTATTTGATTTATATTTTTATAATTTATAAAAAATGATAATAAATGAATAAATATTAAATTAAATAAATTATTAATAGACAATTATATAAGTTATATATATATATATATATATATATATATATATATATATTTGATTTTAGTTTTTTTTAAAATTATTTTTATTAGATTAAATATATATACAACATATTACATAAAATATTCCGGGATTAAACCAAATAGACAGTTGGGCACTGTATTAATACAATAAATAATGTCACATATTATTATTAATATATTTTTTGGGCGCAATATTCAAATATTTATTAATTAATTAAAAGTTTATACAATATATATATATAATAATTATATAATAATTAATATATTAATAATTATAGCAAACATTAACAATTAATGAATTTAATAGAAATTAAATTAAATTAAAATATTTTTGTTGTTGTTTGCAATTAATTTTTTTTTTAAATTCAGAGGGTATTCGGGTATTAGTTAGTGATATATCGGTTAGTTTTCGGGTAATCAATACAACTCTCTCTCTCTCTCTCTCTCTCTCTCTCTCTCTCTCTCTCTCTCTCTTTCCCGATATTACGGGACGTCATAAATACCATACACACCAATCAACCAAACAGTTAGCTTCTCCGACTCCAATCCTGTGGTTAGGATTTCCTGGTTTGTGTGGTGTGTGTGTGTGTGTGTGTATTACACACTGTGTAATGTATGGGTCATTAAGGATGTGGAGGATTAACATAAAAAAATATAACGAAAAAAATAATTATTTTTTTTTTTTGGTTTGGTTTTTGATGTCATACTGTGTGTATGTTTTTTTTGAAGTTATTTAAGTGCTTATAAAAAAAATAGTTTATATTTTATATATATATAGTATATATTGTATTATACTATAACACCAACAAAAAAATCAATTTAATTGGTGTGTCATACATAAAATATAAGCAACAAATTATTTATTTGATTATTTTTTAAATTAATAAAAATAAAAGTTACCCAAAAAAATGTCTAAAAATATATATATCTTTTAAATATATATATATATATATATATATATATATATATATATATATAACCACAAAATTAATGATTAATTTTGTGTGTGTGTGTGTGTGTGTGTGTGTGTGTGTGTGTGTGTGTGTGTGTGTAAACTATTTGATGTAAACCACAAAAAAATATAATAAATTTTATATTTGCATTTTTTGGTCATTTTTATTGACCAAATATAAAAAATCATGATTTTTTTGTATGTTTTTTGTTGAAATAAGTTTATTTGAAAACAAAATAACAAAAAACAAATCAATTTTGGGATTTTTACCCAAAAAATAAATATAAATAAAATTATTATTTTACATGAAATGCACGATTACTGACATACAGTACACTAGGAGGGGGTCATATGTATGTGTGGGACGGTTAGTCAGTGTCTCTCAAAACCCAAACTAACAAACCTCAACATAAAAAACAAAACAACAAAAATATATACAAAATATATACAAAAAATAGATAATGAGATTCATTAGGAGGAATATACACGAAAATGTGCTTAAATTTTGTTGTATTTTATTTTTATTTATTTATTTATTTTTGTTGTTGATTGTTATGATGGGATGTCTATGATGAGGGATAGAGACACACACACACACACACACACACACACACACACACACACACACACACACACACACACACACACACACACACACACACACACACACACAAACACAAACACATACATACATACACACACAAACACATACATACATACACATACACATACACATACACATACACATACACATACACATACACATACACATACACATACACATACACATACACATACACATACACATACACATACACATACACATACACATACACATACACATACACATACACATACACATACACATACACATACACATACACATACACATACACATACACATACACATACACATACACATACACATACACATACACATACACATACACATACACATACACATACACATACACATACACATACACATACACATACACATACACATACACATACACATACACATACACATACACATACACATACACATACACATACACATACACACAACAATTGTCTACCAAAAAATAAATAGGATATTAATAAAATTAATACTGTATTATACCGATACTGATTAGCTGTATATAAATTATATACAGGTATATAATAAATACAATACATGTGCCCTTATCAAGACACGGGATATAAATTTAAATATATTATATATTTATATATATAACTTATTTAATCAGTTTAACTTAGATATAATATATTTTTGTGTGTGTATTTATTTTACTTTATTTTTTTTTGTTTAAAAAAATTACTGTAATAATAATAAATGTGATATCAGTTAATATAGGAGATTGCCTTTTTAAAAAAAAAAAATAAAATAATTAACGGCAATTAATTATTATCAGTTAGATTTTTTTTTATTGTTTGTTTATTTGATTGCAATTTTATTTATTTATTTTTATTATTTTTTTCATAAAATTTTTTTATTATTCCTTAAAAAACCGATAATTTTTTCAAGTTTATTGATTACTAAAAAATAATTATAAATTGTTTTATTATTATTTTAATATAATTTTGTGTTTTTAATTTTCATCAAACATTACATAAATTATTTAAAATTATTAATTATTAAAATAATTAATAAAATTTTTTATTCAATATTTCAATTAATATATTAAAATTAATTGAATTATTTTTTTAATTTTATTTTATTTGATTAAACAAATAAATCGATAACTTTTAAAATACTTTTTAATTGTATTTTTCATAGCATTAGAAATATGTAGACTAATAATACCAAATAATACTTAATATTATCTCAAAATAAAATAATATTATATAATATATTATATATAAAATTAACTAATAATATATAAAAAAAACATTTTTATATCACCTAAGAGATGGTAATATTTTTTTTAAAAAACTATTTGTATTTTATTATGTATTTCCAATAATTTTCTAAATAATTATTACTAATTATTAATTTATATATAATTTAATTGTTTTTTTTGTGTTAAATATCATAATCTAAAGTACATTACGTTTGTTATATAATTGTTATTGAAATACGAAAAAAATCATTGATATTATCAATAAATTATTAGTAAATATATTATTATTCACAGATTATATATATTTAGTTACTCTAAACAATTAATTAAAACTAATTTTTTTATTATTATTAATTTCAATCAAACAGGATATTTGTGATACAAATTAAGAGAGAGAGAGAGAGAGAGAGAGAGAGAGAGAGAGAGAGAGAGAGAGAGAGAGAAATATATATAAAATACTTGAAATAAATACAATTATTGAGTTTATCTATAAATATTTATTGTATTATTTATTATGAATATAAGTATGTAATAATATTAATCATAATAATAATATAATATAATAATAAATATATCAATCAAATTGATGCTAAATAACACAACTAAATTTACACAACTAACAGGTACTAAATATTATTAGATTATATAAAAATAAAATATTAATAGTATATTAACAATATCTATCAAAATGTATATTAATATAAAGTACATAAAAAATATTGTTTATTATAATAACAATATATTATAATAATAATAATATAAATAAAAAATTATTATTATATTTTTTTATTAGTCATATTAATACTATTAATGTAATAATAATAATAATAATAATACTTATAATAGCGATAACAACAAAAACAACAACAAAATTAGACGACTAATCGGGAAAAATCAATATTTGATATAAAAAATAAAATAAAATAAAACAACATTTCATATCATGTATTGAATGCTATCTCAAAAAAATAATATAATATATTGAATAATACAAAACATAGGGATATTACTAATACTAATACTACTAATACCTGTAATTGTGTTGTATATTATTGTATTGTTATAGTTATAATTATTATAGAGGAACGGTATGTTTTTTTTAATAATCTACTTGCTTAGTTGTTAGACATAGATATAATAGATAGATAGATATTATAATTAGAGATAACGGTGCGATTATTTCCTATCAATTGTTTTAATGCTAATTTTTATTGTTGTCTCAAACACCAGGGTACTATTTGATATTCAGCTAATATATATATATATATATAT